TTATTTTACTAATTATTAAAGTAGCTATATTTCCATAGCAATTGAATCACAAAATAAATATGAACAAGGTCATTTTTGTTTACTTTTCAATCTAGACCCATGTATTGCACAACAGTAAATGTGTTGCCATTTAATAATCTGCACTGAAAATATGTACATTGCATAAAATGTGCCATTCAAATTTATTAAAGCAACAGATATTGCTCTGACATGGGTAAAGTTTTAGATTAAGAGTTATACTAAAAGTGACTATGTTTTATTCTAAAGCATAGACAATGACAGAAATATAAGGATGTGGGTGCTAAGTTCCTATGACTTTGATTCAGGTAGGAGGGAGGCCCCAGGTAAGGTTGGATGCTCAGTGGTGTGGGAGTCAGATAACATAGTCTCTCTAGACATACTCTAGCATCATGGTCTGGGCAATGGATTTCTTCCCTCTTTATGCTCCACTATCTTCTTTCTTTTGTGTATGTGGGGAAATAAAACAAATTCAGGTTTATTCTTTGGTTGTTTTCTCCCAGGAACAAATTAGATATAACATATACCTGCTTAACATGGGTGCTTAATAAATCGTGTTCTCTTCCTCTCTCATCGCACTTCCTTTTCATGTGAAGAAATTAAAGTATGTTCCTTTGGGGGCTGTGTAAGGAGAACCAGAGATGAGTGGCCAGAAGTATTTCTTAGAAAGGGAGAAGTGAAGGGCACACTGACCCTGGCCTCACAAACAATAGATACTAGTCCCACACTCTCTTCTTGCACTCCATTGCTTTACATGCAAAGGTCTCAAATTCTGTTGAATTCAGAAGCCAGTCAGATCGCCTAATTGTATGAAGTAAAAAGATATTCAATACAGTGTTTTAAAAACTGTGGCAAACTGGAGCATGCATGCTACACATGAAGATATTCTTGTTTAAATATTTTAAAATATTTGTGGTAGGGAGAATAAACACAGACTAAAAATAATAATAAAAAAGTGTACAGCCATGAGTTTGTCATTTCAGTCAACACTTATCCATGTCACACTCTCAAAATGTGAATGTGTGGTTTAGGGCAGATGATTCAGTATCTTCTTCAACACGAGGTAGTAATAATAACTACAGCATCGGATTTTTATGAGGGTAAAATAAATTAATACTTGTCAGTATTTAAACCCAGCAAAAACTCAGTTTCTCTTATTTTTAGTATGTTCATTCTGCAAATGATCCCTGCTTTAAAGAAAAAACCCGGAGGTATCTAATCACTCTGTTTTGATTGTAATTAGTCCAGGTCATTAAATTGGGGAGAAAATAGGGCAACATCAGCAACAATTCATTTTTAGGATGTTCTGGGTGACGAAGTATCAGTTGGTGTAGATTTGGCCAAATGTACTCATTGTTTCTAATGCTTGGATGTCATTTGACTATCCATATGATAGAAGTTCTTAGAAGAAAGCTCTCCTGTGCCTGCACCATGTAAAATGCAGGGCGTGTTGGGTGCAGGGGTTTAGCAATGTCACTGAAGCTCTGTTTCTTTAAGATTACTCAGTGATTCCTTATTGTAATGATGGGAATTATATTTATAGCTATCCTGCTTAAAACTTCTTTAGAACTATACTGTGCAGAATAAATTAATGCAGAATGGAGGAAAACTAAATGTTTCACACAATGGAACTTTCTACAATGATACTTAAGTTATCAAAAAGGAATTGTAGTGGAAAGGGAGCCTTAAAATATTGCTATTCATTTTAATTATAATCAAACAATATTGCTGAAACTTTCTCCTTGTCTCAGTCTGCATGGTTCCAAAGCACAGATTCTTTGCTAATATAGATACTCCCTGAAGCCATCTAAATACATCAAATCCCATTTTTCCTGATTGACATAGAGTTAAACAAATTGCAGAAAGACAATAACAGTAAAGCATTCCATTGTGAATGAAAAGGCTAACCACAGACAGGGAGAAGATATTTGCAATGCATATCCCAACAAAGAACTCAGTCAGGATGCTAAAAAGAACTGTTAAGATGGAAAAATCAGGGGAAACTCTTGACTGGGCACTTCATTGAATGGATACTCATCTGACCCATAATGAGCATAACAATGCTAATCATTGTTATATAAATGTAAGATTAAACCACAATGAGAAAAAGGGAAAAATAATATTTCTTCATGCTTGCTACTGGCAAAAATTATGATAACATCAAATTCTGTCAAAGATGCAGGAATACTGGAACTTGATATGTTGCTGCTATATGAGGAAAACAATCATTTTGGAAAACTGTTGGCAGTGTCTACTAAAGTAAATACATGCTTATCTGATTACTTAGCAATTACAAAATGAGGTAACTATTCAAGAGAAAGTAGCCCATAAGCTACTTCAAGAATGCTCATAACAGCCTGGCCAGTGTGTCTCAGTGGTTGAGCATGGACCTATGAACCAGGAGATAATGGTGATCAAGGCACATGCCTGATCCCCGGTAGAAGGCATGCAGGAGGCAGCTTATCAATGATTCTCTCTCATCATCGATGTTTCTCTATCTCTCTCCTTCTCCCTTATCTCTGAAATCAATAAAAATATATTTCAAAAAATAATGTTCATAACAGGTTTATTGTATTAGCCTAAAACTGGAAATGACCCACAGGTCATGAGGGGTAAGTGGATAGGTTGTGTCTTAGTCATCAATGAAATGCAACCTAAAATATGAAAAGGAGAGAAATGCAAACAAATTTTTTGCCTCTTATTTTTTCATATCAAATATTTGTTAGAATTCACAGTTTGAATCAGATAGTGTTTACATGGAAAGAGAGAGAGAGAGAGAGAGAGAGAGAGAGAGAGAGAGAGAGAGAGAGAGAGAATATTGATTCCTTCCAGCAATAGTGATAATATGAAATTATCTAGCAGTATCATACCCCAGGCACTGCCAGCAGGTGTCCCTGAATGTGCAATGCATCAAAGAGGACTTATTCAGATAGATAAACACCAGTGTAATTGTTTGTAAAATAAACTTTCAAATATTTTTCTAAAATGAAAAGCGGGAGAACAATTAAGAGAAACATTTGTAGAGTTGAAATGAAAGAACATAGGTGTAAGGCGTCTCTTTATTATTTTTGTTTGAAACCCTTATTTTCTTTGCAATCTGACTTATTTTCCCTTTCCCCAACAGCATTCTTCTGTGTAATTTTCATATGAAATAAGTACCCTTTAAACAATCAATCCAGTCATTTTAATGACATACCTTTGTTTCTTTTCATTCCATTTTACCATTTATCTTCATGTGGTTTTTGTATAGAGGTATTCTAATACTAAAAAGCACATTTTTTATACACATAACACTTGTTTCTCAAGTTGGTTCCTTGAGAAAGCATTGTAAAAGTTTTGGGCAACTGTTCCCAAGGGGAATAAAACTGAGCTTTTTGAGTACTTTTCTCTACTGATGAAAGGCCAAATTCCTACTTTCCTTTTCATCTTCCTTTCTTCTATCCATTCTTTTCAACTTCTTTCCTTCCATCCATCCATCCATGCATGCATCTTTATTGAGCACTTACTATGTGCTGAATCTTACTGTAACCCCAACACCCACCATAGCTCTTTAGCACCAGTTAAAACTCTTCACAAATTGCCCTGGGATGCAGCCCCCAATGCAGTCAGCTGTCATTATGAGGTCTTGGATGATGCCACACAAACCAAGTGCCACATGTGACATCTTTCTTTTGTTTGTTGTGCCATGTTCATTTTCTGCTTCTTGCTGCTGAATTTTAAACACTTACAACTCTCCATGAAGCTCCACTATTAGAGACACCTCTCTACTCTGCTAAACTCACGAGATCTTGTTGAGGATGCATGACCTTCTTTTCCATGGTGGACCCTAATTTTGGTGCCCTCTGTATCAGCTGGAATTCTTTTAACCTATCCTGGGAACATAGCAGTTCATTTCATGAAGCAAGACTAAGAGAAACCACCATTCCTACTCTTGGAATTCAGAGTTTTATATAAGTTATTTTCCCAAAGCAGGGAATTCAGATCTCCATTTCTTTTTGCCCTCTTCCCACTTCCTCACTGAGGTTACTTAAGTTATGTGTCTTAAGCAAGATAAAAAGTTCAGGCCCTACCCTTTTCTTTTGAGAGCTCATTGGAGAAGACACTTCTGAGAAATGACATTATGGTAAATTTTAGATGCCCATTGTTTATTCCTTTACATATCTGACTTGCAAGATTAAAGCTGGTCGGTCCCTGTTTGGTTCAGAGAGATGTCATAGCTAGACCAGAATCCACAGAATGAAATTAAACATGTAGTTCTTCTAACATAGAATTCCTGTCCAGAAATAAAACAAGTCAGGAAAAGTGGACTCCGACCTCTCTCCAGTCCAAGGCTTCCAATGGAAACAGGGGAGGCTTTGAAGGGAGGGTTTTCTGACCTAGCCTAGAAACCGACCAAATGTACAAACAGAGATTAGAATTAGAAACTCCTTTATGGAACCCATGTCTGCACTCTCCGTGGTTCTCACTCTGACATGAATGATGTTAAGGGAAAAACATAGAAAAGCTGCTGTCTGTCAGTGGGCCCCGTTTCAGAATTCCTATTGGTAGGTGTGAGTTAGATTGTTCAACACAGTGGAGCAGAGAAGCCGTCGTGATGTAGCTAATAGGCAATGATGTGGCCTCCTTTCTTCATAAAAAAGATAAGAGAGACTAAAATTCTCCCACATTTTAGAAGTTCTCATTTTACGTAAAGAATAATAAATGCGAAGTGGTAAAAGCTGAGGCTTGTATATATTTAATTAGCGTGTGCTGAATGTGTAATATATGCCTGTACCACACTGGGAACTGTGAATATAAAAATTCCAACACGGAGATAAAATGAGCCCTGGCGTTGCAGAGACATGTAGGTTATTAGAATTTATGTAGGTTTTGGTTCTGAATTTGAATTATGATGTTATATGATATATATAATTTTAGTATATGCTTTCTTCTTGCTATGAATAATATCACTCCTAATGTTGGTTTACTCTTTCCATCTATAGGAGATAGTTAACTTCAACTGTCGGAAACTCGTGGCCACGATGCCTCTGTTTGCTAACGCTGACCCCAATTTTGTGACTGCCATGCTGAGCAAGTTGAGATTCGAGGTGTTTCAACCTGGAGATTATATCATACGAGAAGGAGCTGTGGGTAAAAAAATGTACTTCATCCAGCATGGTGTTGCTGGAGTCATCACAAAGTCCAGTAAAGAAATGAAGCTGACCGACGGCTCGTACTTTGGAGGTTAGTACCAAAGAAACACAACCGAGATGACATGAAGTTGTTTCAGTACGTGTCTTCGTTAGGATTCTGGAGGTGTCAGAACATTGATTTGTTGGTTTTGAATATAAATTCTCATTGGAATTCTGATTTTAAAAAGTGTCTATAATGGCATGTTTTTCACTTATCAGGCCTTGTCAAGCTTAATGTTTAAACATTCCTCAGCACCAAAAACTGGAACGTTTTCTTTAGAAAACAGCAAGAAGTCTGCGTTCCAGTATCTGCAGATTTATCCTGTAGGAGAGAATTCAAGTGAAACCCTTTTTTCTTCTCATCAGTGAGGTGCTCCATAAGTGCTCCTTATTAAGTAGTCCTTGTTAATTTCTGTTCATCCCTCATAGACTTTATCATCTTCTACCCCTTTTGGAGGCTTCTCCATCAGAATCAATGTATCCCAGCTCTGTGTTTCCATAGCACTTTTCATAGCTTTCCAGAGTCCTGGTCAAGTCCACCTCATGCTGAAATTAACAGGTAGTTAGTAAACTGTCTTCCTTCAGGTATTAGATGGCAAGTGTGGCATCAGAGAAGCCATTTGAAAGTCAAAGATGCTCAGGCCCCAAATGTCAGAGATTCTGATTCAGGAAGTCTCGACTGGAGACACACTTTTATTTGCTTGTTTATTAGAGAGTAACCAACCAGTTCAGAGGGGAGGGCTGGATGAAAGAAGGTGAAGTGATTAGCTAAGGAACCTAAATGCATAACCCATGGACATAGACAACAGTGAGGTGATGGCCAGAGGAAAGTGGGGGCTGGGTAGAGGTGAGCAAAGCAGGGTAAGTGGGGAACATCTATAACAGTGTCAACAATAAAAAAATCCATAGTTACAAAGAGAAATTATTCAAATAAAATTAATAGGAGTTGAGAACCAGTCAATCAACTATATTTTATATGACTAGAGGCCCTGTGCACAAATTGTAAAAAAATGGAGATTATATCATACAAATTGTGCACAGGTGGGGTCCAGCGAGGGGGAGGGACCACGGGGGGTTAGTGGACCGGCCCTGCCCCCTGGTCGAACTCCCAGTTGAAATCCCAGTTGAGGGGACAATTTGCATATTAGCCTTTTATTATATAGGATAATAATAATAATCTGAGTTTAAGATGTTTTCTCCAATAACAGCTAAGAAATAATTATTAGAAAAGGTTTATAATTGTTTTAAATGCTTTTGTGGAATTTATCAAAATAACCATAAAGTTCTTATTTGTCAATATATTGCTGAGTAAAACATACAACTCAAAAAATTAGCTTCTTTGACTTCTGCTCAGCCATTAAGGACAATTTTGAAGTTTCCATCTTCCCCTGTCATCACACTCTTCTTCCTTCTTGTGAGTCTGTGTTGCCTCATCAGCCCCTTAGCCTTTTGTAAAGATTGTGCTAAGATTAGACGAATCTAAGAATCTAAAGGGGCCTTTCATGTTTGAATGAAGAAAAAAAAAGAGAGCAATTGAAAGATGTAAAGTAAGAAATAAAAGCATAGCCTATGAGCCTGGTTTGGCAGAAGATGGTGTGGAGGTAAAACGTTTTTGAGGCAATAAAAGGAGGGGCGGTGTTATAAATATGTCATAGAAAAGTTTAAAAATAAGTTTCTGAAAGTTTTATTATACATTTAGAATGTATTTCTACTAGTATACGTTTTGTGCATTCAAAGGCACTTTTAATTACTATTACAGTTATGTGTGCTAATGTAAGTAAGGCTGCATACACAGCTAGGACAGTTGCTTCCCTGGACTTATGTGGGTGAAACTGTTAGTAAAGTCAACTAAATTGTCCTTGTGCCTATAAGATCATTTTGGGGATAAAAACTACTTTGTCCTATGGCATTATTTCTTCAGCATCTCTATCTACAAGTGAGGCTGGTCTGTAATTTTGTGGTTATGTTGTTCACTTTGTGACCCCCTAGATGACTTTGGGTATCTCAGGTTTTCCTCATTTCTAAAAAGAGTAAGGAAACTTTTCTAAACAATGTATTCTCTGTTTCAAGGCAGTTTAAGCAATCTCTCTTTACACACACAATTGATATTTATTTGATTTAAACACCAAAGAAGATAATGAAAGGCAGTCAGAATCTAAGAATAATAAATTGTACTTAGCATGTTAGGGTTTAGAATTCATAATTCTTTCAGAATCTAATATGAGCCGTTGAAATGAACAGAACGGACCTTTGTATTACACTCATTTTATATTCGTGTAAACAGAGCGTGGCCAGTTCACAGAGCAGTTCAGCAGAAAAGCCACGGATCAGCTGAGCAATGCTCTTCCCACTTGGCTAAAATGTCCGGATTAAACAAACATAATTAGTGTACAAAACACACTGTCCCAACTGGTGAGATCAGGGGACTTATTCAAAGAAAGGTCAAATTCGGAGTTTTGTGTTTTGTGCCTAACCTGACTTATTTCTACAATCATACAGAACAGTAATTCTAGATTAATACTGTTTTTTATAAAACTCGGACAGGTTCTTGTGGTTGTTTTCGATCTCTCTGTGCTGAGGTGTGGGAGGGAGCGCGGTAGGTCAGCGCCTGCGCAGGGGCAGTGATTTCCCAGTTCAGTTCTAGGGGAGGGAGCGCAGGAAAAGGAGCAGGCAATGTGTCTACTGTGTGTTCGGAACGTGCCTAAGGCCCTGGGGAGACAGCATTGAGCGAAATCGACAGGCTTTCCCGGTGTGGAGCTTATATATTTAGTAGGTACTTTGATTTTAGAAAGAGGAATTTAATAAATCGACGTAGAAATAACTGGAATATAAGCCACATTATCAGATGGTGATAAGTGCTTCAGGGAAAATTAATGTGGGGGAGAAGGATAAGGAATGGCCCCTACTCCACAGGGCCCTATGGAGAGCCGAGTTCAGGCACATGGGAGTGCCAGACTCCCTACTGAGAGCAATGGTGACTGAGCATCCAGTGTCTGCTGAGACTGGTCCTCCTGGCTCCGGCCAGGTGATGGAGACACAGTGAGTTTGGGAGCTAAGGGAGGCTCTTGCTTGTAAGAAAGGTTTCCTGGACTCCTTTTTGATTCCTCCTGTGAAGAAAATTTTATTTATTTATTTATTTATTTATTTATAAATATATTTGTATTGATTTCAGAGAGGGAGAGAGAGAGAGAGATAGAAACATCAATGATGAGAGAGAGTCACTGATCGGCCGCCTTGTGCACGCCCCCAAGTGGAGATCAAGCCTGCAACCCAGGCATGTGCCCTGACCGGGAATTGAACTGTAACCTCCTGGTTCATAGGCCAATATTCAACTAGTGAGCCACTCCCGCCAGGCTTTATTGATTTTTTAATCCTCACCTGAAGATATTTTTCCATTGATTTCTAGAGAGAGTGGGGGGGGGGGGCATCAACATGAGAGAGACACATCAATTAGTTGCCCCCTGCACGTGCAACCCCGGTATGTATGTGCCCTTGAACGGGAATGGAACCCATGACCCATTGGTCTAACCCAAAGATGGCGAACCTATGACAGGCGTGTCAGAGGTGACATGCGGACTCATTTTTTTGGTTGATTTTTCTTTGTTAAATGGCATTTAAATATATAAAATAAATATCAAAATTATAAGTCTTTGTTTTACTATGGTTGCAAATATCAAAAAATTTCTATATCTGACACGACACCAGAGTTAAGTTAGGGTTTTTCAAAATGCTGACACGCCGAGCTCAAAAGGTTTGCCATCACTGGTCTGACCAGCCAGGGCAAAGAAAATTTTATAGTTCTACTTTTACGTATGAGGAAAATGAGCCTCAGAGAAGTTTGCCCACCTGGCCAGGGCCATGGAGCTAAAAGGGACAAAGCCAAGTTTCAAACTCAGCTGTGAATCTGAACCACAGCCTGTGTTTTGTCCACTGTTCTCACTGCTTTCCAAGAGAGGCGTGGCGATCTTCTAGGGTGTAAATGTTGAACTGTTTTATAGTCTACTAGAAGCCCGGTGCATGAAATTCATGCACGAGTAGGGTTCCTAGGCCTGGCCAGCAGTCAGGGAGGATCAGGGCCTTCCAGCTGCCAGCCGGGGCCTTTTTTCATTCTGCACCAACCCCTGGTGGTTAGCACATGCCATAGTGAGTAGTCAAACTCCCAGTCTCCTGGTTGATCTCTATAAGGGACACTTTGCATATTAGCATTTTATATATATAGATTCTTCTGTTATCCTGACCCTCCTATTAATCATATGATCAATATATTATCCACTAAGAGAAAGTTCCATTAATATACCTCATTAAAATTTCAAATGACGCATTTTTTTATTCAATAGTTTATAATTTTAAAGAAAAGCTTCTCTTTTCCTAATGGAAGGTGTTTCATTTTTAGTATTTCATCCACTCACCTCTTAAAGGGCATTTTTCTTTCCACACAAAAGTGTTCTAATTAATTCCGTCTCTTAATTGTCCTGTCAAAATACGTTTTTCTGAAGGTGTGGCCATGTGAATAAGCCTACCAGCAGGAGCCCACTTCCAGCATTGGTTGCTGTGATCAATTATTTGGTATTAAACGCTGCTTAACTGTGTCTAATGTTTTGCCAGCCTCCAGGAGACCGCCAATTTCTTTACACGCCTAATGTTTATATGTAGGATTTTTATGTCCATATGCATGTGACCAGATAAGGATCATGTGGCATTTAAAGTTGAGAGCCTCCGAATGAACAACCAGACAGGCAACCCCTCCCCGGGGGCTGTGCGTGGTTTGTAGGAGACCAAGGATCTGCTGATCTCTACCTGACAGTTCACTGCGCCTCTCATGCGTTTCTAAAAGCTGACGCTGATTTTCTAGAAGGCGTGAGGAATCCGTGGATGGTAAATTCACAACTTGATTAGCCCAATACTCCTATTATATTTAGGAGAAAGGGGAGGCAACAGCAGAGAATAACAATGAGTCTCAGAGATTTTTCTTTCTCGTCCTCATTTGTTCTGGCCTTAGGCCAGGCTCATGAAATATTTGCTTCAGTACTGTCAAGTCAACTCTGACAGATC